ATATAAAACGGTCTTTGATGTGGAAAAGTGTTTGCAGAAGATCAGAATCAGAAGAATTCTGAGCAGATGCATCCAATTTTCCATGTGGCAGAGTCAGAGTACTCCAAGAATTTGACAATTCTTGCCACTCACCGTTCTCAAGTAAAGAATTTGGATGCTGACCCGGTGCTCTTTTATATGCCAATGACATTAATTAGGGGGCGTTTACAAGGCAGAGATCTGAAACCATTCAACTCCACACAGTTTAAAGGTCATTTGCGATTTATAGATTTCTGTGTGATATACAGATTTTTGTGTGTAAGTTTGTTTCTCTGAATTACATATAAGCAAATTTGAAAAAAAAGATCTTAAGTATGATGTAGAGTGGTTTCTGTACGTGAGGTCTTCAAATACACCTGGGAAGCTCCTAAATATCACACATACGAAAACAATTTCACAACATCATTTTTAATCATAAGAATAAGGTCACAACCTAATTGGAAAGTTATTATGACATATTTTGTGACAGAATATACCAAACATCTAAAACAATGCTGTGTGTTGGGCTAAATGTGCTCATTGTGTAGCTACATATGGTGACAGAAATCACAAAGAGTTTGTAAAATGTACAGTATGGTTCAGGTGTCTTTACCAAGCTGTAATGGGCAACATAGCTGCTATGATGAGAAAAGAATGCTTTGGTTTGTTTAGATGTCTTTGGTCAGTGCTGCACTCATATTTCAGTCAAACTGCATAGAGTTTATTTGGAAGTGGCCTGGTTGTTTGGTGCGCACCAAGGTTCGGATGGCAGCATTCAGTTGAACTGGATTAACAAAGCAATCACACCAGAGTTCATTTTAATCAAACACACATCAACAAAAATGAAAGAAAAAAAATGTAAATAAAGCAAACATGATTTTAAAATGATACCTAATTTTACCCTTGTCATGTGACACACAGCAGCCACGATAGCGCTGTATAACTGATATAGACTTATGTTTTATTTATTTATTTTTTCTTTTTATTCAAAATATTTCCAAACGTGTTAACTAGCCTATATCTGGAAATATCTCGATTCTCAAATATGTGTAAGTAAATGCGTTTTGCACCTTTTATAGATTGTTATTTGATCAATGGGGATGGGCAAAGTAGACTAATAATGTAATCTATTAACTACACATAAACCCCCAAATTTTTACTTAAGTACCAGATATGGGTGTCATGCCATAACATATTTTTAATACGACTGACTTTGTATTTCATGTGAATTTTATAACAATACTGTAAGTTACTAATTATAACACTTTCATTTAACAGAGAGCAAAGAACATTTACATTATCAAAGAACATTTTCATTCAGTCTAGCCAGAGACACTCTCAAAAACTCCGAGTAAAATCACTGAAGCTGTTTACACTGTGAAATGAATCTCTTACTTACATTCATACTCACATACGCACTGTTGTTTCTGATGAGAGCAAAACACCGCTTTTCAGCGATGACTCATCTGGACGTCTCTGATTGGTCATTGCATTGATAAGCTCAACAGAATCGTGTGCGATTGGTTATAATGCGCAGCACTGTAAAAAGCGCGTCTGTCTCTGGCTCAGCGCCAGCCAGCGAACACAGAGTAGAATTTAGCAGCTGATGCTGTGCCGCACTGAACGATATAATCACACCGGTGTGATTGTATCAAATATAAAAAATATTATTCGGCTATTTTTGTCTTTTGGAAGCTGCATTCAAAATGCACTTGGCTCAGAAATCTGAGGGGGCACGTGCCTCCTCACTTATTTTACATTATTTGTCTTGCAAGAGTTGGCAACGGTGCTCTGACTGCATCAGTTCTTCTCTTCACTGTTGTGTGAGGGATGTTCATCCAGGTAGAAGAGATTCTTCCACTCTCACTGCAAAGTGTTTTGAGTGTGACAAAAGCGCTAGATAAATGCATCATTGCTCAATTTGGCTGATGCTTACTCACTTCAAGCAGCATAAATACACTTTCAAAGAGACAAAATTGTTTCCAATCAGATGAAACAACCACAGTGAAAAGCAGGTGAAGTGATGCTCCGCTTCTTACTGCATCCTAATATTAGAACGTTCAGGAGCATTCAGCAAGCCTACAGTGTGAGTTTGCACTAAGAGTGAATCATCCTCACCCTGAATTGACAATATGTGATGACTAACTTGCCTGAGATAGTGATTCATGAAACAGACATGCCTTTCTCTCTGTCCTCCCGCCTCGTGTTCCTTTTCTTTATCGTTTTTATTCAAACCATTTCCGCCCTTTTTCTGTGACATTCGGGCAACCTGACAGACAGAAAGGGAACATTGTACATGTAATTACAGACTCTGAATAAGGGTAATGTGTTATATTTTATTACTAGAAGGAGTTTTTCTATTTCCTCCAAAGCGCAGTGGGATGTTGAGCTAAATTAGTGCAATTGCTTATCTGCTGGTTAGATGTCAAGGTTTCTGACCTCCAGCTAATGTTTCATTTAGACATTTTTTCTCAAATAAATTAAACTGTAAGCTCTGAATGAGCAGTTCTTGTGCTTTTCCTGCTTTGAAAGACATATAAATGTAGATTAGAGATTACTATCCTGGTGTTTTTACTTACCTGTGGCCCTGCCACCAATCCAACCGAGCTCACCAAAGTCAAATCTGGCTGTGGGATACAACATGACGGCTGTAATTGGCCAGAGTGGAATCCATTTCCAGTAGCAACTGTGGGCGAGTTCTGAAGCACGATGTGAGCTGACCCCGCTTCAGCCCCGTCTCTCGCCACGGCCGCTGTGATTGATGACACTAAATTGCCACTGTAATGTTTGTCACTGCAGCTGTGTCTTTTTAGTCTCCCCAGTGATCTGAAAATAGAGCTGTGGATTGCCAAGACAGACTGTCACTGAAAACAATGAACCTCTGATTCCTCATCGATCGAGAAGATTCTTGTTCTCAGAATTTTTAAAGAAGGTGATTCTCTGAATTACAACCGTTCAGCATCAGCGAAGACTCAACAGGTAACACTTTATTCTCATTCCCTGTAGTGGCATATGAAAGCGCTTTGTACCTGCTATCAGTGTTAACATCCCGTCCAATTCAATAATATTAATCTTTAGCACAATGGCATATGTCCAGATGCATACAAAACAGTTCAGATGCTGTGAGTGGGGATCTACTTGAAAAATGAAGCAAAGATGGAGAGAGAAAGAAAATAAGCTTCTCATTTGACCGTCAAAATGTGCTTAAAGAGTTCAAAGGAGGTCCAAGGATCTCAAGTGAAGAGCGACAGCGTTGTTATGAGGGAAATGTGCTCCAGTTCAAATGCATTATTAAACACTGGCCTTTGCTTTGGCTCGCTATTTCTGGTTTCCAATAAAGATCAATGTTTCTCTTTTTATTGCATTTTTTCTCTCAACTTTCCTTATTGCATAAAACACTAGCTCTCTGCAATGTCCAGGAAAATATAAATGTCATCATAAGCCTTAAATATATAAATGAATAAACAAAAATCATACACTGGAAAATGTTGACCTATTCACTTTTGACATTAGAAGAGATGATTTTCAGGAGGGACTATTTATGGATGATTTGCTGAGGGATAACTCAGTTGAGAGTGCATGTAATGGGATGAATCTGGAAATATAATGGAATTTTTGCATATGAAATTGTATTTTGTATCTTTTATGTTGGAGAGAAATGTAAAGTTAGAAGAAAGAAAATGTAAAGTTGTAAGCCATACATCCGAGTAAAACAGATTCAAAATGTATGGGCGGGTCATTTGACCGTCAAAATGTGCTTAAAGAGTTCAAAGGAGGTCCAAGGATCTCAAGTGAAGAGCGACAGCGTTGTTATGAGGGAAATGTGCTCCAGTTCAAATGCATTATTAAACACTGGCCTTTGCTTTGGCTCGCTATTTCTGGTTTCCAATAAAGATCAATGTTTCTCTTTTTATTGCATTTTTTCTCTCAACTTTCCTTATTGCATAAAACACTAGCTCTCTGCAATGTCCAGGAAAATATAAATGTCATCATAAGCCTTAAATATATAAATGAATAAACAAAATCATACACTGGAAAATGTTGACCTATTCACTTTTGACATTAGAAGAGATGATTTTCAGGAGGGACTATTTATGGATGATTTGCTGAGGGATAACTCAGTTGAGAGTGCATGTAATGGGATGAATCTGGAAATATAATGGAATTTTTGCATATGAAATTGTATTTTGTATCTTTTATGTTGGAGAGAAATGTAAAGTTAGAAGAAAGAAAATGTAAAGTTGTAAGCCATACATCCGAGTAAAACAGATTCAAAATGTATGGGCGGGACTTCATTCTATCCATCGGTTGTTGATTGGATGGCGGCAGATCTAAATGCGAGCTTGCAGTCGATTGTGGGAGGGGTTTAAGTGGAATTAATAATTGTCACCAGAGAGCGGTCTGCCATTTCACTGGACAGTCGAGGTGACATCTTGCTTAAAAAAATTAATTTAGACAAAAGATAGGTTGAATTTTCATTTCATGTGAACTTTAAAGTTACAATAATAAAAAAGCTCAGTTAGTACATCAATTATTAATTGTTCTGATCTGGCTGTGTTCTTTTGCAGTTGAAGAAAACTGCACTAGTTTCTCTCATTGTGGTCCGGTTTTAGAGGCAACGCAACTGCAATAGTACGTTTGCTCTGCCTTCACAGATGCTTGTCAGGATGGTTGTTTCATGTAGTTTCTGAGCAATAATAAATGAGAGCGTGTTATATTGATTTTACATCTCATGTTCTTACTTGTGGAGGTATTTGTAGCCCCTCAAATGAACAGACTTTTCAAAAAGCGTATTTGCGTACATCACTTCCCCTGTGAGAGTTTCTGTTGTGTTGTTCTGTTCTTGTAATTTACATTCTCCACTCCACAGCATTTCCTCTCCCCTGTCTTCCTTCTTCCTTTCTTTTCCTCTAATGACTGTTTTGTACCACTGCGCTGTTCATTGGTCTGCAGGGGGATGGGACCGAGTCAGGAGCAATCTGTCAAACATTCTGGAGAACACAAAAGCTCAAAAAGAATATCACCATTCAAGCATAGATTCGTTAAGGGCGTCATATGATGACAAATCAAATTTTCCTTGATCTTTTGAGATAAAAGAGCTTTTTGTGTTATAAAAACACTAACTCCCTCACAAACCTTGGGAAATGAGTACAACTCTTGAACTTCAAAGATGTTCAATTCATGCACCCTTCAGTTGTTCCAAAACTGCAACACGTTCTTTCCTCTGTAGAATGCATACACAAATTTTTATTTGTTTTTGTTTTGGGCCCCACTGACTATCATTATATGGATAAAAAGCACTTTAAAGTGTCTTTAAAATATCTACATAACACACAGCCTATAAGAATATCTCTAAGTGCTCATTCTGTATGTTACATTGCAGTTAGTTAATTATCTTGAATATTCCAGTTTGATATGAAGACCAAGAAAAGTCAATGAAGAAACAATGGACAGTAGATTAACAGAGGTGTTTTGTTTTCTTTTGTCGTTCGCTTGAGGGAAAACAAAGCCATTTTAATAAAGAGTTAAAAAGTCTGTTAGTAATATACAATTCCAACTTTAATGTACTCATTAATAAATGAAATAAGAAACAAAGTTTTACGCATTACAAACCGAGACTCATTCTCCATCTTTTGGTAAAATACTGTAGTTTCCCTTCACATTACAGCTGTAATGAATTCACATAAAATCACACACTTTCTCCCTCACACATAGTTTTAGATACAACATTTAAAACATACATTATTTTGTTGTTGTTGTAGTTATTGTTCTTTTGAAGATGATGATGATAAAGTATTCTATGTAGCACGTAAATTTTTTACCTAAAATATAAATTTGTCTCAGTACAGAACATATCTCAAGACAACAATAGTGTCATATAGCTAAGTAAAGAACACTTGGCTTTAAAAAAAAACAAAAACAAAAAAACAAAGTCATTTAAAACAGTAATTTATCAAATAGCAATACATACAAAACCAAACACAATTAATTTATTTTGTGTTTTGAAGATGATGATGATAAAGTATTCTATGTAGCACGTAAATTTTTTACCTAAAATATAAATTTGTCTCAGTACAGAACATATCTCAAGACAACAATAGTGTCATATAGCTAAGTAAAGAACACTTGGCTTTAAAAAAAACAAAAACAAAAAAACAAAGTCATTTAAAACAGTAATTTATCAAATAGCAATACATACAAAACCAAACACAATTAATTTATTTTGTAAATATTTCAATGTTTGTGATTAGAGAGAAATGCAGTATTAGAAGATGAATGCGCACACATAGAAAAGGCATGCTTTAAGATTGAAGTATCACAAGAGAGCACATGTGACACCGGGACTCTCGCACAACACAAGCACTCTGACGTACAAGAATGAAACGAGCATGCTATGACGGACTATGAATATCAGATATTCAAGGTAATTTTGTTTATGCGAGGGTGTTTTGGGGAAGTGGAGACTGATTTAAGATCAAATAACAGTAAATAAGTGTGGAAACACATTTAACGTCAGTTTAGCCAACAAGGAAATTGTGCTATCATTGTTTTTTTTCTTTTTTCCCCCATACAATTAAAGGAACATTCTACTATTTTTGAAAATAGGCTCATTTTCCAACTCCCCTAGAGTTAAACAGTTGAGTTTTACAGTTTTCGAATCCATTCAGCCGATCTCCGGGTCTGGCGGTAGCACTTTTAGCTGTAGCTTAGCATAGATCATTGAATCTGATTAGACCGTTAGCATCTCGCTCAAAAATGAGAGTTTCTATATTTTTCCTATTTAAAACTTGACTCTTCTGTAGTTACATCGTGTACTAAGAAATGACAGAAAATGAAAAGTTGCGATTTTGTTGGCCGATATGGCTAGGAACTATATTGCAATTATATTACGCAGCGCCTGAAAATAGTCCCCAGCACGCTCCCTGTGCAAGCAGGTGGTCACGTTGGTTATGTTGACGGAAGTTAGCCTATTTTCAGGCGCTGCGTAATATCATTGCGCCTGCTGCACCCATGGTACAGCAGCAAAGTTCCTTGATTATTACGCCGGAATGAGAGTATAGTTCCTAGCCAGATAGGCCTACAAAATCGCAACTTTTCATTTTCTGTCGATCTTAGTACATGATGTAACTACAGAAGAGTCAAGTTTAAAATAGGAAAAATATAGAAACTCTTTGGTCATTTTTGAGTGAGATGCTAACGGTCTAATCAGATTCAATGATCTATGCTAAGCTGCAGCTAAAAGTGTTCCCACCAGACCCGGAGATCGGCTGAATGAATTAGAAAACGGTAAAACTCAACTGTTTAATTCTAGGGGAGTTGGAAAATGAGCCTATTTTCAAAAATAGTGGAGTGTTCCTTTAAGGTTAATGGGGTTTATTGATATTGTGGTCCCCAGTGACATTAAGTGTATTTTGTGTTTCACTGAAGAAAGAAAATCATCCAGGTTTGGAACGACACAAAGAGTGAACTATCACTTTAAGTGTGTTTCTATGCGCATCTACTGTTATTTGATCATAAATCAGCACAATGCTTTAGGCTTATTCCACAAGAGATGGTCCTTCCTGGTCCACATAAACAGATTTTCTAGCGCGATATGTTCTCGTATGGTATTTTTCTTCAGGGTTATCGACTGGCTACTGAGCATTACATGGAGATTTGCCACCATAATCCTCTGTAGTTGTTCATTTTTGTTTTTTAGAAAACCCCATTAGTTTGATGCAACTATGACTGCTATGTTTAAATATGTTTACCTCAGGGAGATCAATCACTGCTCTGCTCTCCACAAAGCAAAGGCCCATATTAATATGACGCAAAGCTCTCAGGGGCAACTTAAGGTTCTTAATTAAGGATTGTCCTTGAATTAGGGTGGAACCTTTAAGTTCATTAACCCTGTGTGGCCAGATATAAGGAGAGAGATGAGAGTGACCTTATAAAGTAATTACAATCCACGGATCCCCCTCTCCACCCACCCTAGAGCACTGACACCAGACAACATAATGACAGAAAGATAATGACTCTTTTAAGACATCGCCTAGCAACAAGAAGCACTAAAAATACATCACTCTGTGCTTTTTTTTAAATCTGGTATCATTGGAATGTATAAATACACATATATCAGTATAAATGCGGACTGTATGTACATCTGTTTCGCCCACTTTCGCGTCACACATTGTGTAAGAAAGTGAGCAGAGCACTTGCAACATTTCCATAGATGGCTGACTGTAGATTTTTTATGTTTTATCATTCACGAAAATGAAGGGCTGTGCTGTAGCAGGCCAGCCTCTTTTAAGCCAGTGGTGTTGTCATAACAGTTAGCACCCTTCTAAAATGGTGCATTTGGCCATTGGCGTCATTATAAATCAGGTAATGGGACTATGCATTGCCTCTTAGCATTTTTCAGAAAGCTCTATAAAAGAACTTTTATTAAAAAGTTTGAAGCACTGGTCTGCTGGGGCCCCTAATAGTGAGAATTTCCTACAGCTATAACTTTTCATTTCCTATAGCATGTGTCCCAGGTTGGGCCAAGCAGATGGCTGATAGCTGGGAAAATGGGGACACATTACCCCCTTGTAAACAATTATGTAATATCTGCAAACTGAAACCTGTAAGCACTATAGCAAAGAAGAGTATGGGATAGAGAGCTGGGCTAACTTAAGCAAGTTAAACTCTTTGCTACCTGGAAATGAACCAGGTTTTATTAGTTAAGGAGCAGATGGAGGACACTGATTAAAGATAGCAAACTGAAATTAAACTGGAATCCCAACCATTATACATTAACCATGCACGTAAATGCAAATTAGGTGGCGCTAATGCTATCAGGAGAGGTAAGTGCTTGAATGATTAGATACGCTCAGGATTTATGCGGCGAAAGTGAGGGATTCACATTTCACGGGTAAAATGTCCATGTTGCGCATGAACGAAAGTCATAATTTTCACCATCTTGTCAGAGTAAACTCAGTGACAGACCTACTGTATGGCCTAGAGACCTTGTACTGTTGATATCAAGGCACCCATATTGTGTTCAAACACAACCACATGACTCAATGACGCAATGCCTTCAGTAGAGAATAGAGCTAAAAGCTTGACACAGTGAAGACGTAAAACATGGCTTGGTACAACAGGACAGTCACTGCATGTTTTAGGACCAACAAATGTACCACATGTAAGCTGCAGCCATTTGTAAATTCATGGATGTTGAAAGGGGATCCAGAAGCTCACATGATGGGAGCCTGAAACTCCTGAGCGTGGCAGTGACAGACACGAAATTCACTGTGCTTGAGTTTAGCACACTTTCATACTTACATACATACACACACTCATAGTCAGATACAAACACTTTGAACACTGTTCAACAGATTGGCACACATGACTCGTACGTTTCGTCAAATCTTTTGCGCTCGCCCATTCGAATAACTGCTCTCTCTCTCACACACACACAGCCTACAATATTTCCCCACATAATACATAGTTCATAATAATAAATATCACATGAATAAACACCAACACCTTGGTTCTTATGTCTTCTTATGTTAAACTATTTATTTTGGTCTCCATTCAACTTCTATCACTAATGTTGTTCCATGCAAATTGTGTATCTCTTCAGGTTTTGTTAACTTTCAACAAACATAACCAGAAAAGACTGAAAAAAGATCTTTCTTTCCTTCTTACAATCGTTCTGTTGACTTCATAATTAACTTTCAGTAGCATGGTAAAAATAAATGAATAAATAATAAAAAAACACAAGAGCATTTTTAAAAGATTTAGAGATGGAAGGGGTGTGGCACAGGTAGGGTTGTGGGTGGGGTCAGAAGTGAAGAGGGCGTTGTTTGTTGTGAATTGGTGTCATATGTAAATAAGGTATGGTAATAATGGGGTGGGCCAGAGATTAAAATGTGTGGTATAGGTCAGTGTAAATGTGTGGTATAGGTCAGTGTTTCCCAACCTTTTTTTAGTCGCGGTACCCTTTGGAAATTTTAACAAACTTGTGGCA